GTTACTGTACTTCTTCTTGCTTCCAATAAGTGATGGTTAGTAGTCAGTCCTCTTGATTTTACATATAAATCCCTTGTACTAGTACAAAGGTAGATGAAGACCATGTGGGTTTTCTTCTGAAATATGCTACTATCAGAGCCATCTGCAACATTTAACATTTAAGTCACACTACATTACAGTCTGTATGGACTGAAGGGTTGATGCAGATGACACTGGATAGCAATAGAAGACTCTTGTTGTTGAGGGCCGTCGAGTCAAGAAGACTCTTATGGACTTGTAAAAAAGAGCTAGTCAGTTCTAATTGTTCGTGCCTTTAAAAACTTTTTAATTTTTTTAAGATACATTCGTGCCTCTAAAATACGTAAGCAGTATTCATCAGATAAGAAAAGATCTAAAGCCACAAGGTTTTCAGAGATTCCCTCCAGAGACCTGGATACTTTTTAAATGACTATTTAAACATACATAAAAAACTAAAAACACATACATACAAGTTCCTTTAAAAGTCAAATATATCAAGATAACTGCACACCATAAGCAATAAAAGTTGGCATACATACAAATAGGTCAATAACTATAGCCTCTGGATGCCAGTAATATCGCCAGTACTCACTAGATTACATACTCTGGGAATTAACCCATCTTAACTAACCCATGAAGCACAGAGATCAATCATAAAATTTGCATGTATTTATTTAATACATGTATGGGAGATAAAATAAGAAACACTTCAGAATTTTTTTCTTTCCTCAAATTTGCTACACAAGCAAAAAGGATTTAGCTTTGTTTGTTTCTACTTTTTGATAATAGAAACACAATTTTCTGCTTAATTCATTAAAAAGAGAATTACTGCTCACCATATTAAGGGCATTGTGTGTCTTTCTGTGAGCAACATAATAAATTCTGAAGACTCTCGTGGTATCAGCACAAACGCCTGTGTGCCTTGAGTTAAGAACACGAATTAGCCTCATCTAAGGAATGATTAGTTTTGCGAATTCTAATTAGGAAATTTGCGATCTGTTCTCCGTTTGTCAGATGATGGGTGATCATGTTGTACATGTCTACATTTTGCTTTTAATAATGGATGAGATGAATGATCCTGGGGCCTGATCCCTCAATCCTGGGGCCTCTTTTTAGTAAGAATGTCAAAAGACTTCTAAATATTAATTAGCAGCTATAGCTTAAAAGGAATGAAAATGTAAAATGACTTGAAATTATTTTTTATTTTCTACTGCTGGGTGATACAAATGTATTCAGAATAGAAGTGTAACAGAATGCAATAGAATAAACAGTGTTACAAGTGATATCTCTCCCCTCTAATAACCACTAAATATGATTAATTACCTGGTCCAGGAGGAGAGCCTTTTGCTGAGAGGGTCCTTGTTTGCCGAACAGTCTGAGCACCAGCTGGGGAGTGCATCTGTTACATATAAGGTAAATTCTTTCTCTACTTGCATAACTTTTGTTACTGTGGCTTGTTTTAAATCAGAATGTCCACCCACCCCGTGTTGCCTGGTTTGTAAACATTGTCTTGTACATGAACTCATGGAAAAAAAAATGTTTCTCCTTATGTAAAAATAATTTCCTGTTGTTAGGAAATAGTATATATATAATAGATACATAGCTTTAATAGCAGAAATGTAATGGTAATTTCTCTATTAATGTTGCACCTTTGTTTAAGGTAATACTGATTGTGTATATGGATTAATCCACAATGGACAGTAATTGGTGGACTTTGTGATCCATAGACAGTTAAAAGTTCTGTCTTTTTCTGGATCTGGAAATCTGTAATGTAAAATGTGAAAGTTATTTAAATTTTGTCTGCATGTGGGGATCTCCCCTTGAACACCAATAGGGACTGAATCAATAGAAAATGTATACAGACCGACTCTCATTAGTAAAGGCAAAATGTCTTTTTTTATTTTGCAAATGAGTCAAACTGAAGTTTTTTGGGAACCTATTCAACATTATTTTCATTTGCAACTACATTTGAATCCTTTAATTGGGAAGACCATTCACATTCTTCTATGGCTGTTAACATGCCTTGTGGCTTACTTCAGACAAAGTTAAGTTTTACTTTTACAGAACTATATGTTTATTTCACTATTTAGAATAGAATCAAGACACAGCCACTTAGCAAAGGTGTAGGATTTGAAAAATGTATCTTAAATAGACCGAAGACAGGTTTACAGTGATTCAGGTCCATAGATAGGTAACCTGTTGTACATGTACTGTAGGTACAGTACTACAGTACATTGTGCCATTACAGTAATTTGAACCTCCCAAAAAATCAACTACTGATTAACTTGCTTATTAATTTGCTTGATTAACCCAGGTGCTGATGATCACTTTTATAATTAGGGCTGGAACAAAAATTTGAAATAAAATAGAAGTGCCACGCCTGATTACCTTCTCTTGATATATTATTAATATATAATTTGTGCTACCTTCACGCAACTCAGTACACTTATAAACAATAAATGTATACACTTCAACTTTTCAACTTCTTTTTCAGCTTCTGCAGGGTTCTTCATAGTTAATGAATACAATCCTTGTAGTTTGTTCTCATCTGCGGTTTACCAGCAATACCAGAATCTATATCATTGACCGAAATCAGAAAGAGCACAGGTCCTTATTACTAAAGTCTTTCTGAATATCTAAATATCTGATATACCATATCACAAACTCTTTTACACTCAAAGAACTCTAGTAAGCTACAGTACTTAATAAGAACTACATTTTCAAGATCTGTTTTGACTATCCCTTATAACATATTTGTTATATATATTATTCCTTACATATACAGTAATATGAGTAAGACTTATTGGTTTGTACTTACTCGGTTTAGTTCTGCCATTTTTTATGGCCTTTAGCAATCTGTGAGTCAGTGGGTATTGCACCTGGATATTGGAAATGCTTGTTATTTTTAATGGTCTTTGAATAACATGTTTTTTACGTAATTGTAATTGTAAAAATACTGCCAGGTATTTGTTTATCTTGAGTGTCTAGAACCTGTAGCTGCCTCTTCTATGCTAATATACTTTAATGTATGACTAGGATACGTGCTTCCACAGCTTGAAGCATGTTTTCAATTGTTTCTTTGGCGAGCACCTTAGTGTGAAATGTTATCTTCAAGTGTATCTTTTACGGTTGCCTTTAATTTTCTACAGATTCCATATCGTATCCAGTTACACTTCTCTTAAACTGGGTCTCATTATTTCATGGTCACCTTTGCTGAAATTGCAAATCTTTGTGTTGGAATCTACCTATTCAGTTTCAAAACATTCTTAAAAGTATTGTACACCATATTATAATCACATTTCTTTTCACCCCTGCTTCCTCAATCCATCATGATTGTAAAGACTAGATCAATTAAGGCATTCCCACTATTAGGTGGTCTAACAAACTAGAGAAAGAAAACCTTAATTTACCTATAAATTACATTTATTTATGTTTACAATTTTTAATTCAGATCCTGACATCCCAATCATTTATTTCCAATATAATGAGGAAAGGTAAAATGTGCCATGAAAAACCCTTTATGCATGCATTCCCTATTTCATTATTTAAACCTGCATTATAATTTAAAGCTGGAGCATCTGCGGCATACTCTTAAATCTATAGATTTGTATGTTTCTAAATCTGCCCTAAGAGATTCTGAGATACTTTATTTATCCACAATATATTCCAGTACTCGATCAATAGACTTCAAAACAGACCATGAGAACATCAGTACCAGGCTGTTTCTATTGGCTGAAACAAAAGAGAAAGAGCACCTCAAAGCACAAATGAGTAAAAATTAACCTTATTCCACAACAAGTAATGAATTGGTTTATAAATTGTGCTGGAGGATAAGTGAAAGAAAGCAATAATTTATTTTACATTTGTAGATCATTGTTATTATTTACTTAGCTAATGCCCTTATCAAGGGTAATTTACTTTACATAAATAGTACATAATGTTCTTCTGCACAATTAAACGATCAGATTTTCTTATGTGACAGTTACTCAGAAACATTATACAGATAAACTATTGTGTAGGTGAAGATGTCCCTGAAAGAGTAATGGAGCCTGAGCAGTTAATGATATTTATACAGTATGTGTTGAACACACAAGCATGAATGGGTTTAGATCATAATCCGCCCTTATAGTACCCACACAAACAGGACTGTTATAAAGATTATTATTTAAAGCCAGACTTTACTCTACAAGGTCAGCAGTGAAAAAGATGGAAAATTCTATCTTTACAATGATCTTTGCAATGACAAGGAACAATGAAAGTAGCTGGATATGACCACTGAATCTAATTTGTAGTCCTGGGTTTTAAGAAATCTGCAAAAATATCTTTGTAATTCTTAGGGTATCATTGCTTTCAATTTGACATGCAAATTAGTAATCCTGTAACATTTTCAGAGGAAATAGTGCTATTACCTTCTGGAAATGTGACTGTGACTTAAGGGGATGGTAAGAATTTGAGAAAGCGCATTATTGTTTATTGTTGGATTTATTACAGCACAAACTAAAAAGAACAAAATGTCTCTTTGTCTTTCAATTAACTGTATATTACCACTGTGTTTTACTACTGTAAGAAGTAATAGTAGGTCCAGTAGACTGTGATACCTTATAATGATTTAATGCCCATGCATTCAGTTCTTTATTTTTATTGAAATAAAAATGGGAATGGCAACACATTTCTGTAGGTCATTTCAGCCAAGAACAATAGAGCTGCATTGGAAACACATTGTGCTGACAATGTGCAGTACTGTAGGTTTTTCAAGAGCTGTTTCCATAGTTACTCTTCAGTATGACTGAGTTATCCTATTTTCCAAAATGTTCAACAATAAATTGGGTGTAATACACTTTAACCAGGCAGGAATATAAAAACAATGATTCCAGGGAAAAAAGAAAGAACAAGAGTTAAAAGCACATCAGTGGCAAACACTGTTTAAAAAGCGATATCCATTGTTCCTCCCTGAAAGAGGCAGAAGAAACCATTAATCTTACCATATCTGACGGTTTGAAGGGGTTTCCCTGCCCACTGATTCCTCCCGAGATGCTAAAACCAAGACCAGGGTTCTTTTCTATCCGCACACAAAACTGCAACAAAGAAACAACAGCATTATAACAAACAGATTACACAATACACATTTAAACGGGTAACCTTTTATAGAAAGTGACACCGCAAGATAATTTAAACAACATATAATTGCAGAATCCTTCATTGCAGGCTTCTTTGATAAAGATGATAAAATAAGGAATTCATATTGCCTATACAAGTCAATGGCAACCGATGGTGAACATGTTTCGACAACCCAGTGTAGCAGACAGACAAAGGGTTTCAGGGGAATATCTGAAGATGAAGGACAGTGCCTTATAAATGCGTTCACACCTCTACAAAGTGTCTACATTTTGTTTCTGTCTCAGCTTGCAATCATGAGACTTTCAAATAGGGCTTTACATTTACAATCTACAAACAACACTCCTTATTTCCAAAACTAAAATGCTGATAGCATGTAAATAAATAAATTCTCTTAAAAAGTTAGGTGATTCTCAGTTTGGAACAAATATGTTTTCACCCCTCTTGTTATGGCAACCCTTAACTAGATTTAATAAAAAAGAATGGTCTAAAAGTTTACAAAATTTGTAGAGGCCTATGTGCATGGATCTGGCTTTGTTATGTTGAGATGTTCCCTTAGACAGATCTTAAATTACAAGCCACAACTTAGTCATACCATGAAGACCAAGGAGCTTTCAAAATAAATAAGGGATGAAGTTGTGAAGAGAAAGTCATGAGAAGGTTGCTTATCCTTTTGAGTCCTTTATAAATTCTTTCTACATCCATCATTAAGAAGAGGTGACTGTGCCAGACACAAACACATCGTTCAATCAGCTTCATCCTTGCTGTCAACCATGATCATGATACTATAATATTATGGGGCTGCTGTTCATCAGCAGGGACTGGGCAGCTTGTCAGGATTGATGGGGAAAATGGATGGTGTGAAATACAGGCATATGCTAGAAAAAAAGTATTCTTAAATCATACACAGATCTAAAACTGGGTCAACAATTCACATTTCAATTGGACAATGACCCAAAGTACAAGCTAATCTGACAAAAAGGCAATGAATGTCTTGTATAGATCAGTTAAAACCAGCCCTGACTTGACTCCAAAAGAAAATTGTATTGACTTGAAGCATTTGAAAATCATTCATAAAAGGAATAGTTTTGCCAAAAAAATCAACAAAATCACTCCATCACTGTGCAAAGCTATAGATACCCATCCTGAAAAACAGTTAACAGCAGAGATTGCTGTCAAAGATTATTTGACCCAGTACTGATTTAGGGGGTATGAATACATATTGTAAGAGGACAGTAGGCTCATGCAAAATTGTTGTCATTGTCTCAACCACATTCCTCATAAAGTCATGAGGAATGAGCTGCTGCCTCCCATCACCTGATCAGTTGCCGGAACAGAATTGATCAGGTGACACTTTGAATACCAGGAACCAGAGACTTTCTACAGTAGGTCAATTATACCTGCTCTCTTGAGGACAGAAGGCAGATCCTTCATAGGGCAAAATCATCAGAAGAAAGTGAGATGGAAGCAACTGACTGAGGGATTAAAGGAACCTGTTAGTTTGTACTGTATGTTTATTAAAGTGCTTTTTTGAAACTTTCAGATAGAGATGGAGAAGAACACTCATCGAGAGATTGTGTATTTTTTTAAAGCCAGGAAGCAGCTTACAGTAGCTACTTAATAGGGAAGTGAGGGACTTGAAGAGGTCTAGTTATATTTAATGTTTGTTTAATTTCTCTGCACTACAAATAAAGGGGCACTAGTTTGTACTTTATGGCTGCTTTAGTGTGTTTCTTTTCCTGGGATTGCCTATTTTAAAGATCTCATTAAGGCATACCCAGCTTGGGTGTCACAATATGCGATTCATAAATATTACTTCTTATATTCTACCTCCTTTTCTTATTTTGCTGACATTCCACCTTCACATATAACAGTGTTTCGCTTGATTATTACAGTTTTGAGTTAGCTCATCTGAAAAAAAATCTATACAGTACAGTGTAGTTCATCAAAGTGTGATATTACTGGCAGAAGGTGAATACTTTTGCAAGTTTCTGTATATGGTAGAGTATCTGGTCACAGAAGGAGTATAACAGGGAATAAAGTTGGGGTAGGGTATCTGGTCTCAAGAGGAGTATAACAGGGAATAACGTTGGGGCAGGGTATGATTGGGAATATACCCGGGGAGATAAAAGAACCCAACCTGCTCTTGATATCCATCCATACTCTTCTGCCCTTTGGTCTGTATGAGGCAGCGCCCACTCGGCGGGCCGCGCGGGCTGGTAGTGGAGATGGGCACTGGCAGCGGCGACTGGTACTGCTGGATGGAGATCTTGTTGATGGCCCCCTCGTACTGCTGGTCCCTGGCAGAGCGGTGTGGGGGGGTTGCGGTGGATGAGGTCACGATCATGGTCTGCGTTTGGAGGGGATGGCTACCTGCCTGTGGGTAATTCAACCCGTTAGGCAAAGAGTCAGGGAGCTGTAAAGATGCAAAGTTATATCTTACACAGACGACTAACAGACATCAAACAAATGTGAGGTGATGTGTTTGTGTGGCATGCAAACATGAGCTTCACAGATTTCTCTTTAGTTCATTTTGCCTATCCCAGGCTGGGACTAAAGATAGGCAATGATTCATCAACCAAAAACCAGATTTATTTTTGCGTTTTTTATTCAAGTGACAAGTTGTGCCAACCTGATAGTACTAATGTATTTAAATAGTGTGAACTTGTATCCTTGATATTTACTGTAGCTTCAGACATGTACCTGGGCAGTTTTCATAATCTAAGCTGTGGCTTCTTTTAAATGCCATGACACAGTCTATCAGTGTGAATTTCTCACATTCATTTTTTTTTTTGCTTAACCCACAGCTGAAAAGAAGGGCTGCTTATCTGATAGCTCTGAGATGCTGAGATGGAAACCCATAGAGAAATGACATCATCACTGAAACTCTGACAGGATGGGGTTGCCATGGAGACCAAACAGCAATGAAACACATACATCTTTAGAATTAATAAGGAGGATCAGCAGTTATGCCTGAGATGTAACAACAATAACAGGACATTTTAAGACTACAACTGAAAAAATACAAAACATTCAACTAGTACCAGCTTAAAGAACAAAAAAACATTTTGAAAGGATTCTTGCCCTCTACACAACACAGGAAGTGAAGAAAATCATAAGCTATAAAGATATAAAAATGCCATGTTTTATCTTCCAGAACACAGAAGAATAATTGAAATTCCATTTTGCTTCTTTCCAACAGTATGGTGCAATTCTTTTACTCTTAACTGCATCACAGGGGCTCGTTATGTTCTTTAGTTTGGCAGGAGTGAAACAACAAACGAAAGCAACATTCAAGACAAATATATTTTCCAATTTGAGTCCATACTAAGCAGTTTTTTCTTAATCCTATATGTGTGTTACATACATTAATAATTTACATAATTTCAGCATTTTATCGCTTTTATTAAAGCTATATATATAAAAAGAAAACTTCCAGATGAAAGAATAAGTTTTTTTTCTACCAGTTTTCCAGTTCAAGTTCACATTCAAAGATCTGCAATGCAGACATTTAGGAAATGTCATATTATTTGGACAGAAAAAAAATTAACTGGATAGCCAATACAACAGACTAGTAAGTTTTATTATTAAAATGTATTTTTAAATACAATAATTGCACTGTAACAAGGCAGTAAAATGTAACAGAAAAATGCAGTGAAAACCAATACCTTAACTTACTGTAACAAGGTATTAGTCACCATGGTGGATGAGTGTTTTTAGAGAGCACAAAGCAATTTACTTGGTGGGTGTTTACTGTAGGTGTCTCTCAGGAAGTTACCAATGAGTCATTTGTCTAAAACAAAGACAACATCTTGACCCTCTGACAAGGCCTCGATCCTTTCTCATAACAGAGAAAGGAAAACCTGATGTGATTTCACATGCTATAGTTAAAGTGTAGTGTATTTATTCTAGGGTATGAAAAAAACAACTACTAGAAAAATACACTAGCCTAATAATATCTCTTTCCAATGCATACACCATGAAACGTACAGTACAGCAGTAGAGCTGCACAAAATTACTATTTATTAATACTGCTTTCTTTTTTGTTGTTGCAATGTTTCAGAATAAGGCTTAACTGGTCAGAATGCACTTGCAACTGCAGAATGAATGTACTGTAAGAGTTTGTGTTAGTTCTTATCTAGAAAACATGGGATACCACAAAACAAACAAACAAAAAGATAGAAGATATAGTGATAATGCAGCATTTATACCTGGTGTTACATTGTAACATTTATAGCTGGTGTTACACATCGTATGATTAGATTATTTAGAATATCGCATATGGTTCTGATCATCAGATTATCAACAGAACATTACTGCATCTGAATCAATTGAGAGAATAACTAACAGGTTAATTCCTAACTCTAAGGAAATAAAGTAAACAAAATAAAGGGAATTTATCTTGTGAATCTTTGATATGTGGTTCACAAACGTCTACTTCAGAAGCAGTAGTGAAATAAAGACCCATTTCCTACAGTGGAAATTAAGAAATTACAAGACAATACAGTATTTAGCACACTATCCAGTTGTGTTGCTGTTTGTTTATCATATGTAAAAGAGTTTATAACAACTTCATTTTCTGAAAGAGAGTGGGTGCAGACTGAAACACAATCTTCAAACATCAGTTGAGAAACATGCCAGCAGCTACACAAATTTACAGGATGCACATTTGGTTGCAATAATAATGGTCCTTCTGATGCTTAGAAGGATTTAAAAATATTCCTAGAGCAAATGCATTCTGATGCAACTGATGTATTTCTTAATGGTACAACCAGGTACAAATACATTCAGACAGTCACATACTTTAAATACTGTACCTGCATTCAAAAGAGAATTATGGAAAGGACAAATATTTAATATTCATTATGTCAGTGATTTACTATTTGCATTCTCTCATTTTTAGAGGTTAAATATCATTCCCTGGATACTAACAACAAATAATATTAAAGATAATGCCTTACAAAAAGTTGATCACATGTTTATTGCATGTTCATGTTGCATCATCAAAGGAAGTGTACAGTGGAATACAGTAAAAAGTTATTGTCTTAGTGAGTTTTCTAAACTGAAATAAGCACTGTTTGGAGCAAGAACCATGAAAGATAATGTGTCTGTGGGTGATAATTAATGAAGTGAAACCACAGTTTTTATAGTGTTTTTTGTGAGTGTGAATTTTACACTGCTTCCACAAGGTGACAGATTGAGGGCACTTAATCCAAGTTTCAGATTGTGAAAGTATACGTGTAGCAAGGCATTGGTTCTTTCTCAAAACAGATGCAGATAGCACAACTTCATCACTCTCAGCCTGAATCTGGACTGTAAAAACACAGTCCCTTCAAGACAATGTGAGTCACATATTAACTAAGGAAAAGAATTCTAACCGTGTACTGTAAGAGCATCTTCATGTTTTCACACTGTGAGCCTCCCAGCACCAACAGCTGACTGGGCATCAGACTGAAGACAGACACAGCTCTTACTGGGAGCTTAAGTATCTATCAAGCAGCAAGAAGTCCATAGGGTTTAATGTTGCTTGGCAAGGCTAGGATATTCCAGCCAACTTCTTGCTTGGCCAATGGGGGAAACCTGGTCAGAGTCAGCTAATAATATAATTGAGTGCCAAAACAACAAATTGCACAACAGGACCCAGCCTTAAAGTCTTCATAACATTGATCTCTACCTTAATAATTTAGAATATGAAATTATTTAGGAGGTACAATGTGGTTTAAACACTACTAATTTATTTTTAAAATCCTTTGAGCAATGTAGCACATGCAAATAATGTTATTTTATTCTGTTTAATTTTAACAGTAATCATTATCAATTTTATGTGTGTATGGCCAAAGAATAACAGGAGTGTTTCTTAGTGATTTATTAATATATTCACATCCAAAATCCTAACTTGTATATTGCTTATAGTCAAGCTTCATAATGATCCCTAACTTTTACACACGTGGGTCAATTGTTCTCATCAACAGCGCCTGGTTAGTCAGCTAATGACAAAGACAGTCCCCAGCAGCAGAGCAGCTCAGAAGGCCAACAGTAATCACTTGGAGAATGGTGGAATAGTTTAATACATGTCTCTGTTATTAATTTACAGATTAACTGTCTGTGCAAAACAGGAAAGTGAGAAATTCAGCCAGACCCTTGGAAGCAATTTCCTGGTTAAACTGTGAACTACATGTTAAATACTTCAACCAAAAGTCCTGTATATCTCCTTACAACACCCTTCTACTTCATCCTCCTTACATTTAGTGAAATGTTAAAGATTTGCTGATGCAGAATGCTTTCCTTGAGAGATTGCTGTCAGATCTATCCTTTGCTTTACAAGACTATTATGCTTTACTACCCAACTTCTCCTACATTTTATAGAAGAGCAGTTTGTTTTCCAATAAAAAGAACACATTGTTTACTTTTATGGCAAAAAAGAGAAAAAAGTGGGCCTTTCTTTCTGTATTGCATATTGTTATTGTATTGTAATTATAATTACAATTACAACATCCAGGAAATTAAATGTACTGAAAAATGTTTGCTGAGTGTTTAGTCATAGCAAACTGGGCTTAACCCTTCTGGCTGAAAACCATCGTCCTGGCCAGAGGATGAGAAGACTGGAAACCCCGATCAGAGGGAGTAGTGCACAGGTGGAGATGGGGTAAAGGAGGGATTCAATAGATGAATGTGAAGGAGAAAGGGCTCATGTAAGGTATTTATAGCTTTTTTAACTTAGGAAATAACTTCAAGAATGATTGCGAGTTAGGGCTGCTGAGGAGAATTGAACTTGATGGCTCAACCCTCCCAGACTTGCAGTGTGAACTCCATTTAAGGTTCTGAACATGCCCCATGCTCACTCATAACCAACTCTAATCATATATGCATGGAATATAATCCTATCATTCACTCTTCTAGGCTTTAGAAAGTTCTGTTTAGTTTTAACTCCACCTTTAAACAACTTCATTCATTCAACCATTCAGCTTTGTGTGAGTTCTCAGTTAAACACTTAACCGAGTGGTTATCATCCATTTTATCATGTTATTTTTTTTAGTCAATGTGCTAAGTGCTTCTGTACTTTTGGAAAGGAAAGGTACAATGCTTATGCTTTTTAACATATTATTAAATGTGTATCAATATGGCAGATACAGTATATATTAATACTAATGTGGCGTGTGCTGCTTTGTGTTTTCACCAGCTCAAGGTCCTCGCAGTGTTCAGTGTGTCCCTTCCTCCTTACCTTCTTGATGATATTTTCTGGTGGCACATCTCTTCTGCCTAGAGAATAAGGGGCCCATTGGCTCGTGGGAGACATATCCTCTTGTCCATTATCTAGGATGTTGCTCTGCTGGGAGGGTGTCTAATGACAAAGACAGGGGAGAAATATGGATTTTATAACCTCCCTGGCACCGGCACTACTTACCTGCAGGTTCCCCACCATACCGAACCCTGCACCTTTTCCAGTCTTTGCAATGTGGTCAGGAGCACACTAATGCCAAAAAGGCTCCCTGAGACTGTATATTTGCTCATAATAATTATAATATAATAATAAAATCCCTTAGCAGTTTTTTTTCCCTATGTGGTTCCTATGTGTCCACACACTGGGATATTCTAGCATTTTATAACAGTGTGGCTACTTCACACCTCCAGTACTTACACAAATATCCTTTTGACTTATTGTATTGTAGAACCCTATCTATGTAGTCCGTATAAATAACCTTGAAAGCACTCTGTGACAACTTGTTGTGAAGGGCAATATATAAAAAATTAAAATAAATTAAAATTTTGAAAAGGCTAAAGCATTCATAACATTATAAATATAAACAAAATTATAATTACTTTGTAGCCTATTCATTTTTGATTAACTGTTGATCAACAGTTCATTCTGATTAGATCTTTACATTACATTTGTTTTTTTTTTGTTAAACGCACAGGTAAGTAAATCAGGTTAGTTTTGCAGTGTGTGAACTTTGACTTATACTCACTTACATTCATGATGATCTCAATTAACACCATACATTATTTGCCACTCTTGTACACTAATAAAAAACTCAAAGCACTGTTCTTTAACTGACAGCTGCCCAATTTGGTAAAAAAAACAACAACAAAGAAAAGACCAGCTAAATTCTCTCAATGACAAGGTTACTGCCTTTATCCTGTTCTTAACCATATATGCAAATATACCAATAGGCCTTTTTCTCCTTTCAGATCTCTCCAGATGTGAAAAATGCTGTTATACTGTACAAACACAATCACTTCTGCATTTGTATAGTTGTATCAGTTTCTAACTTCAAGGTCAAAGGAACAGAAATCACAAGTGCAAAGCAGTCAGAATACTGATCAGGTGAACTCAGATGAATTAGTAAAAAAGGTAACAGAATGGAAAATTCTTGCATTATCAACGTAAGAAGACAACAACTACAAAGGCTAATGTAAATGAGCACAGCTGAACAGTGTGTTTTAGAACCAGAACATTCTAGAACAGTCTGAAGCAAAAGTCAAACTGTATTGTGGTAGAAAATAAACAGATTGCAGACAAAGCACAAAGACTTGACAGAATGTTTCAACATGCCAGACAACACTTAAAAAGAGCTGAAACTTTTTTTTCTCTTGAATGTAATCAGAAGGCAAATTAGAAGAAATAATGCTTGGTTAGTACTATACACAACGAAAAAGTCCATAAGTACAGAATTAAGACCCTCATGTTTTGAAGCATGAATAGTTTCAATACAATTTCATCTGAGAATGTTCTCTTGGATTTTTTCCTGCATACAGTTTTAGAAGTCAGTTTGGAAGTCTGAAAATCTAGTGGTTGCTCTTTCAGCTTGCTACTGTATATCTATGTGAGGTTTAATTAGTGACTAATGCTTTCATGCTGTGTTGTTAGGTCTGAAGTGACTTCAGGTCTTAACTAGAGTGCTATAAACCGTTTCACACCATGTTGGTACTGGTATGTACTGGAAGTGTCAAAAACGAGACTGTTTAATAATCAGGAACAAACAAACAAACAGGTGGCAAGATTATTTTCTCATGAGTTGTGCATTGGAGGCACTAAAGCTGCACAGTACAGTAGGTTTGCTTTCAAGGTTTTTACTTCCATTGCCATAGTCAGTACTTGTCTAAGTAATTTAAGTGGAAAAGAGCTACTGCTAGATATTAGGGATTGCCATAAGGGACTGGCAAACTATACTTTAGGCAACAAATACTACTGGCTATGCTGGAATTATGAATTTAGCAAGCTATAAATTTAACAATAAATAAATAACTTTTAATTCTTGCTTAATTTTCTTTTTAGAGACTTGTCAGGTTGCTCCCTGACTTTAGCCTTTGGAAATGTTGTAGTTTTCTTGAAAAATAAACACCGCTCATCTCCAAAACTCGAACTATGCCATTCTCCACCCCTGTCTCTCCCCTGTCCAGACCTTTAGAAATGTGTTGCTAGTGTCAGTAGGTGGACAGACGTACACAACATTCAGCCTTGCACAAACTGAACAGAAAAAAGCTGTAGGGTTAAAGATTCTTCATAACACTGTAAATTGGGCCAATGCAAAGCAACATCAGGATTCCTTTTCATCAAGATCTCCTGATAAACAATATATAAAAGTGATGCATCTCAAAATTCAGAAAGGTACTGTTTTTCTGCACCTCTTGAAATAAAGAAATAAAAAATCTACTGTGAAACCTTTATTTCAGAGGAGTAAAAATGTGGAGCAAAAGTGGGATCAAGTTCTTATGGGCAACGACAGCATACATCAGTGTGCAAAGACATCACAAGCCACCCACACAATGTAGCACCTTCCCATGTGTACTGTAGCTGCAACGTACTGCTATATTTTTGTCTTATTTGTAAATTTAATTTTGGTCAGCATACACTGAACATTGTACGCCACTAGTGAACATCCCTGATGCAATTCTCACTGATCCACAATTCCCTTTGATGGTGTCTGCTCCATTTAGGAAAGCTAGTTTCAGTTTGCCTGGTGGCTTTTTTAAAATAGGACAGCAGCAGGGGAGGTGCAGAAATAGACCTGCAGAGACGCCACAGTCTCAGTTCACCTTTTTATAGATAAATACCAGGAAGACTGAGAAAGTTTGTGAAAAAGTTTGTGAAAAAGTTTGCGAGCCCACAGTGTACTTATGGGCATTCCAATTTTGTTCCATGATAGCCTGATTTAAGACCTCTTCTTAACAATAGCAACTTATATTCACTAATTCAATGTTTTTGAGAAGAAAAAGAGTATGAGATAGGAAAAATAAATAATGAACAAGCAGTAAATAAATTAGATAAAGGGATAATTAGATTCAAGTGGTTAAATAATTGGATAACAAGTAAACAAGGACATAGTTATGTCAAACTTATTTTGTATAATGGTCAGAAGCCTTTGATAACTTGTGTCACGCCCTCTACATCTAGAAGGCGCTCCTACTCTGTCCTGTTCCTAGTTATCCTGTGCTTTTCTTGTCCTTCTGGTGTGTCTTTGTGTGGGGCTATATATTTCCAGGTCACCCTTTGCTCCTCGGTCAGCATTGAGGGTTTGGATGTCTTGAGACCCATCTAGCATCAGGTCGTCTCCTCCGCGGCCTGAAGGGCATAGGTTTCTACCTGACATCGTCTGACCTACTGAGCCTGGGCTAACCTCCGTGTTGCCCATTTTCCTGGTACGCATAGGGTGTTTTTTGCTCTTCTGGCCATTCCACGGCATGTCTTTCCATCATCTGTGACAACTTGGTTTTCACCATACAGTTTAGTGGAAACAACTTCAGAAAAAGAGTAATTAGTCAGATGCTTATCAGTCAACAAGTGTTCGAGAGATGCTCCTTAGTCTGGATAGTTACAAAACTATTTTATAAATATCTGAGGCTTCATCCATCCACTGTCAGACAGTCTACAATTGGAAAATATTCAAGATTACATGGCTCTACCAGGATTGCTTGTGCTAGCAAAATCTCCTCAAAAACAACTAGGAACACCATCAGAAATAAACACTGAAGCTCAGAGAAACCTAATCTGAGTACTGTATCTGCAGGCTTCTCTAACTTTTGCTTTTGCTCTAGCTTTTTTAGTGATCACCCTTTAGCCACCCTGAGCCAAAAGTGAAGATGATGATTTTTTTTTACTTTGGATTAGTCAAATAAAAGTCCAGACCTAAACCCCAAAGTAACTTTACTTTAATTTAATTAAACATCTCTTTTGTTTTGTAGTTTTAATGCTTCAATTGAGGCTTGTCTAATGATATTTTATCACTCAGATGACATCTTTTACCTCCAGCAACCTTAGTTACTGCACCTCTTGCAGTAAATACCCAGCCATTTACATTGGGGAAACAGAGGAGACTCAGAGACTGCTTCAGAGAACATGTTAGGGGTTTGAAGATTAAAGATTTCTCCAAGTCTGTTGTTTCTTATTTCACCTCTGATCTGTGTTCTGTGTTCTCAAAGCTAGTTTTCCTACTGTAACTCCCACATCAGAAAGTCTACAGAAACTAAAATTATCCTGCAGCTATGATCACACCTTTCCCGTTCTCTCAACGACGGACTCTATTCATTGTAGGTTTCATTTCACACCTCTCTTCATCCCGACATCACACTACAGTACCTGATCGGCCACTCTGTCTATTGGCCACTCTGTCTGTCCCCAGCTCCTGCCTCTTGCTCCTCCTTACTCCCAACTTCTTGATATCCTATGTTACTTTACCTTTGCTTACTGCCCTATCTTTCTCACACCTGAAGAAGGCTCCACGGCCAAAAGGTTGTGTTTTCTTTCTTCTCTTTTCAGCATGGATTAAACCTATTACTTGTTCTAATGATATTTTATGTCTGAAATGTCTGAGAATACGGACTAAAACTTGGGGTTCACAAACATTTTCACCGCACTTTAAATCCAGGTTGATAGCTGAAAGGTCAAATACACAGAAAACATAATTTTCACATAGAAAAGCAATAATAGAGCTAATAATTTAATTGCTTTGAGAAGGTTTTCTTCAATTTGAGCTTATTGTTTCGAGAAAGAATGGTGATAATTCTGGTGTCATTTTATAGACTACGATAGTATTATAAATTCATCCATGAAACATATATTTATTATTTTGTTAAATTTTACAATATTGTTATTAAATAAATTATAGTTTAAGAAATGTTTGGCAAAATGTTACCAAATGCACCACAATTCAAGGCCTCTTGTATTTAATTAAATTAATGTGTTGTCTTAAACTTCTGGAAAAGCCACCCAGAATCAAAACAGCACCTGTGCACCACTTGATATATTGTCTTTTATTAAAGTTGCAGTTGCATTCACTGTTTATACTCACATGTGGAGGTAGCCACTGCTTTTCATGCTTTGAGTTATTGTAAAAGTTTAAAGTTATGCTTCTGTTGGCATGTGCAGCAGAATAGCGTCCAGAATACAGCATGCCGATGTTAACTGTGTTGTGTTTAACAGCATTCTGATTGGAGGAAACAGGTATGTGACATGAATGAATGGGTGATCCAGACCAGACAATGTTTAAAAAGCAGCTGATTGGCTAGATCAAGTACGTACAGTAACTCACATTTTACACATTTCAAATGCTACATAGCTACATGTACAAGAGACATTATGAGTGCATAGACATACTGTAGCTAGACAGACATAAGAACAATACACAAATTTCTGCAAGGGCAACATAATAATAATAATAATAATAATAATAATAATAAT